CAAAATGAACATTACAATGATTACAAGATGTAAAATGATCCTAATCCACAAATCTATATTCACATTTTCACGTCAATTTCAGGTAAGTACCCACCAAGTGGTTTCATTTATTTCCGCTACTTTTTTTGTACCTTTTCACTTTCCTGTTGCAGTTTATAATTTTGTTCCTGTACTTAGTACAGGCCTCATCTTACCATAATTAGATTTTCTGGCTAATTAGGCATAGAGTAAGAAAAATAATCAATACGCTCTGCTAATCAGTCTTCAATATTTTCTGTGGCATTAAGAGTTGCCCTTTGTTGTGGATGGATATCTGCCAACTCAACTTGCCCTACCCTAGAGGGTAAGGAAGAAATGAAGCTCCGTAATTAGTTGGGAGAACAAAGGATACCTCCATGTACAAATTCATTCTGATACAAAGTATGCACAATATTCCCTTTCTCCCTTAGAGGCCACATAAGCTATTTGTTTTTTACTTCATGCTCTGCCTTCATAACTCATTTTATTGATATAATCACAGTAGAGTTAAAGCCACATAATGCTTCCTCAGACCCATACTAGATCTGTATTTTCTTTCTGACATCCTGTGAGACAGGTTCCCATCATTAAGTTATTACTTTATATCACATTCTGTTGTATACATGTAATATATGACATGGTACTGTTTTCTGATTACTGCAATAACGTCCACCCAAAATTATATTACAAGGGTTATCAGTGGCCATATTAGGCATGGCTATTACCATTCCCTGCTCCGTGGAGCAGCTGGTTACTAATGTATAAATGTAGGTTAATCCTCTAAACTGGCCTGGGGTCGAATGGCTGGATTTCAATACAAGGTTTATAAATTGAGTCATTAATTGACTCACAAAAGTAACTCTCCCTGCTGAGAGATAGCAAGAATTGCAGTTGCTGGAGTTAGAAATAACACAGTGTGGCGCTGGAAGAACGCAGCAGGCCAGGCAGCATCAGAGGAGCAGGAATGTTGACATTTCAGGTCGGGACCGTTCTTCAGAAAGGGTTTTCTTAAGAAGGGTCCTGACCCGAAATGTCAGCTTTCCTGCTCCTCTGATGCTCCCTGGCCTGCTGTGTTCCTCCAGCTCCACACTGTGTTATCTCTACCTCTCCTGACTGTATCTGTTACAGTTTTTCTTGCTTGGTCATAGAATCGTAGAATCCCAACAGTGAGGAAGCAGGCCATTTGGCTCATCATGTTCACATTGACCCACTGAAGAGCATCCCATACTGACCCTGACCCACCCCCTCCCCACCTATCGTTGTAACCCTCCTTGTAACCTTGCATTTACCATGGCTAATCCACCTAGCCTACACATCTCTGGACATTATGGGCAATTTAGCATAGCCAATCCACCTAACTTGCCCATCTTTGGACTGTGGGAGGAAACTGGAGTACCCGGAGAAAACCCATGCAGACACGGGGAAAATGTGCATACTCCACACAGAAAGTCACTCAAGGGCAGAATCAAATCCGGGTCTCCTGCACTGTGAGGCAGCAGTGCTAACCACTGAACTACTGTGCCACGGTGTTGTATCACTGGGTTCCCATATGCCAAGCAAACACTTGTAATGGCATTGTTACTTTTTTTGAGCTTTTTTACTAGTCTACTAATATTTTTAGCTTGATGCCCAACATTGGATGCTGATAAATTTAGCAGTTCTCACTTGTGGTCTTCCTGCAGTCCCTTGTCCATCCCAAAGAATGTTTTCTAACTGCCTAGTGTGAATCTTTAACTTTGGGTTCAATCTAACAATATCCAGGGAAGTTACTAATCCCTGTTCCAGTTTTAAATCCCATTATCACGTCTTTGCTGTTTTCCCTTTTTCCTTTTCCCAAGTTGGGGCCTTAGCTTGCAAACCTAGTTGCTTGTGCTCCTTGCTCAAGTATCTGTTCAAGTAATTCCTTGGGTTACATCAGAACACCAAGTGGGATTGTAAACAGCACCAGTTCATGGCGTACCTTGCCATCCTATTATCCTCAGTTCCTTGGACGTGGTGGCATTTCTAGGCATGGTATTTCACTGGTCATGATTGTGGCTATAGTTGCTACAGTCGATGGGGTTCCTTTCTTCTTCTGATAATTCCACAACTTCACCAGAAAACGTTGCTTTTATTTTCCTTGTACGTTACACTACAATCTTTTCTGCATGACAGTTTTATGTCAGCACTGCTCTTTTTTAGAAAGGAGGAAATGTTTCCGCTAGTTGAGCTCCCAATTTGCGTCTAAAACAACTGACACTTTGCTTATCTATGCATATGGTTTGATTTACCTGGTCCATTGTAGTAGTAATATCAACAATATGACAACAGGAACATTCAAATCAGGTGCTGTTCTAATTGTATGTTCTTTCATTTCCTGTTGAAAACTTTTCACCTGTTGTTAACAGGCCGAAGCTTGCCAGGTTTAATTGAATCAGAGGGAAAAAGAAAACCGAAAGTAAGACTGTGCGTTCCACTTTCCCTTGAAGTGTGTGCTTTCTATCTGTCCCATTCTAGCCAGTATTTGATCGCTATCCATGAGATAGCAAGGGTGAGGCAACTTTACAAACAGTAATAGCTGAAATGTCTGATCAAATGTCTTTAGCTGCTTTTCCTCAAAGCAGATTTTGCTTTTGGTAGGTTGCTGTGCATTGACTACTGCTTGCTCCTTCTCTCAGCAATTGTCTTTCCATGCTTAATTATCTTGTAAATAGCAAAATAACAACTGTTCTTATTTACAGTTCTTTATTTAGACTGATTTCTTATCTTCTTTGTGACTCAGACACCCTTAACATCCTCTAATTTTTGATTTTTTTTCCATCTATATTTTCTTTTTGAGTTTAACCTTATTCACCTCACAGTGTAAGCATATTTCTTCACCAGGCCCCAGAGAATAATTTACATCTGGTTCTTCCAGATTCATTTCTTGGATTTTTTACTTGCAGTGGAATATTCCCAAAATTTGGTGAACACCTTTCTGTGAGTTCTATGCCTCACTGTTATCATCTGATGGTGCTTCTCGTGCTCTTGGTCCCTCCTATCCTAACGTATCCAACATAGTGTTGATTGTTATTTTGTTTTCAATTGATTGAAATGATACCAACTGGCTTTATTTACGATATACTAAGTGACCTAGCCTATTTTTGGGAACAAAAAGGTCCCAACCTGTTGGACCTGGACCACAACTTCTTGCCCCAATTCTACAGGTTTCACCTTTCCATCAAAATAGGCTTTACTTCATTTTTGCTTTCTTCCCATGTTTTACTGCCTGATAGTCTACAAGTTTCCCAATAATGTCACAAACTTCTCATGGCTTATTGTGACTAGCTCTGGTTCAGAAAGGCCAAATCCCAGCAATAAATACCTTTATTCCTGTCTTTGACATATGCACAGTCATAACAGTAGAACTGGATATTACATTTCTAACCACACAGGGAGAACTACATTGCATATGGAGTTGTTTTGTTGTAAGTTCCTTCTTGTAATCACCTTTTGACTTCTGTTCATTCTTTCTACTATTCTGAAGGTGGTAAGCATTGTGGAATTTTGGATTGCCAAAATCTTGCATTACCTGGTCAATGACGTGAGAGCCCCGATCTGACTAAATGCTGTGTGGCAGTTCCCATCAGGTGAACACCTGTCTGCGTATAAAAACAAAACTATATATTTTTGTAGGAAAAGTTTCCACCCTTTTTGTTGAATGTATAATCAATCTCCAAAATGTATTTGAATTAATCCTTGCATGAGGGTAGTGATCCCACGTAATTAATCTGCAAGTTTTCCAGGCTCCATTCACTGGTTGCATATACCTCAGCTCTCCTTCCTGAGCTTACTGATCCATGATGTGTTGAGCACATAGCACTTCACATCTTCTCCCATCCCAGGCAACAGTGCAATTTCTTTGTTCTGTTTACTGTAGTCTCCAACCCTGATGTCCTCAAATGTCATGTAACTGATTATTTGATTTCTATCCTATCTGGTATTGTATACTTACCTTGCTTCACTACCAGTTGTTTGTCAATTAAATACTAGATTTTCATCTGTTCCACTCAGTTGGGCATTCTGCTTCCAGTATCTGTCTCAGTATTATGTCTCTGACTGGGCTTCCACCAGGTCTTAGACCTTAACTCGTGAGACAGCCACAATGACTTTTCTCCTTTCCCCTTTGTACAAAAGGTGAGTGGACCATACATAATCCCTGGGTGAAGATGGGGAAAAAAAATTTGAACTGTAGAGACTCTGACAAGAGGTTTGAGATAAGTAGAATTTGGGGTACAGAGAATGTGCCAGTAGCCATTGATTTCTGTAACTACTGTTTGCCTGCAAGATCAGTCAAAATGATCACTTGTTACTGTTTATTTTTGTGTGTTCGCTTACCGATCTTTAACCAAGATTTCAGCTAACATTTTACATTTCAGATCTGACTTTCCAAGTTGAACTGTATGATTGATTGATTCAGTAGTTCTTCTGTTACTTATTGGAAAAACATGTACTGTTTTGAAACCCAAATAGATGAAAGATTTCCAGCTATCAATTTAAAAAAAAAAACAAAATGTTTCATGGATTTGGTAAAATAGTTCATGCTGCTCATACATTTGTTATAATGTTCTGTTTGCCAAAGTTTTATGGAGGACTCACTGCAGTTTGTTATAAAATAAAACAAGAACTGCAGGTGCTGGAAAGCTCAAACAAAAACAGAAATTACTGCAGAAACTCAGCAGGTCTGGCAGCATTTGTGGGGAGATAGAAGGATCACTGGATTCAACGTGAACTCTGTTTTCTCTCTACAGATGAGTTTCTCCAGCAATTTCTGCTTCTGCCTTTGTTGCTCTGAATGCAGTATTTGAACTATATCTGTGCAAGTATTGGTGGACATGTTGCAAAGTGCTAAATCCTTTCTCCTTTTGAGTTTATAACATTAATATTTTATCTAGTTTAACAGACAAATGCAGTAGACATGGTAATGCGTGTGTGATTTTGCTAATACTGTAACTTTTCAATAGGTTGGAAGAAAAGGAAAGGGCTGAATGGAAGGTATGTGCCAAAATAAACTCTTTAAACTCGGAGATAGTAGGAACTGCAGATGCTGGAGAATCTGAGTTAACAAGGTGCAGAGCTGGATGAACACAGCAGGCCAATTTGTTCTGAAGAAGGGTCTAGGCCCGAAAAGTCAGCCTTCCTGCTCCTCT